GCATTGTCGGGAGTTTTTTGTCAACTGAAATTTCTTGGAAAGATATTTTTCCAGTGTTTCATGAGCAGAACAATCCGAAAACACATTAAATATCAGTACAACCCATTGAAGAGATGCATATCCCTCACAGCCTCGCTTTCATTCTCATTAAAAATCAAAGATGGCGCTGCCGTGAATAAGGCGTATTGTCTATACAGACATCTGAAATGGTGTTTGGGACATGATTATCACTCAAAACATTTGGTGTGAGTGTGGGGCCTGTGGGGAAACAATCTGGAAACTACACTATTTTTGCAATTTAATTTGCAGTAGTAGCCAAATAGTTAAATTAATAGCCTGGAATCAAAATGGACAATTCTTGTTTTTCAAAATATGAATTCCTTTTCATGCAGACTTTAAGAAAGACTACAATGATGCCCCATTTCACGAGTTCACTTGATCGATCATATAACCAAAAATGTATATGAAAACGTTTGACATGCAGTCCAAGGGTAAAGTTTGTAAACGAGCCCCATAGTGCAATGAATTTAGGTCTGAGGTGGAGAAGGATGCTTGAGTGACATCATCAGAAAAAGAAAAGCTGAGAATATGATTAGATGAACAAGCTCCTTCCAACTTGTTTCCTGAATCTCATATAATGGGGAATTTTGTTCAGTATCACAGACATCATGGTTCATATAGACATAAAATTTTAAACAAAATGTGAAATGTTATAACAGCAATACACGTTTATTCTCAGTGGTGCATTTCTATCTACACACCAGCCTCCACAATCACTCGTGGCATCATGGCATTAATATTATCATCACTCAGTGAAGCAGAGTGGGGTGGGGCATTCCGTAGCTTCACATAATCATGATGGATGCACTGGGGCAATGCACCCGATAGCTCCCTTCTCCCATCAACACACATTCCCTTAATCACTTCAGACACCAAGATGCTCAAGCCAGTCACGCCTAATAACCCAACTAGAAATAAATGATGCAATGGTGGTGCTCTCGCTTCTGTGAGTGAGTGAGTGTAAAGTCATGAAGCTTTTCCTCAGTTTGGATTCGGTTACCTTCTCATGGTAGCCGTTAGCGCTATAAGTCACAGTCCTGTGATTTCAGCAGCAATAAAATAATCCCTCTACAACAGAGGGAAAGCTCCACGATTTCAATATTTCTCACAAGATTTTTTCACCTAAGTTATCACAATGCATCTGATATTTTCTTATTTTTTTAATTTCTCAGTTTAAATTTTGTATTTGTTTAATTTATTTTAAGAAGGAATTAGACAATTACAGAATTAGTCAATTACAGGTCAATCTCGAATCTGCCTTTTCTGTCAAAGATAGTGGAAAAAGCAGTATCCTCACAACTGTGTTTCCGAGGATGCGAGGATTTTCAGTCAGGATTTAGACCATACCATAGTACTGAGACAGCTCTCATTAGAGTCACAAATTATTTGCTCTCATCATCCGATCGTGGTTGTATCTCTCTATTAGTGTTACTTGATTTAGTGCTGCATTTGACACAATTGACCACAGCATTCTTTTAAATAGACTAGAAAACTATATTGGCATTTGTGGAATTGAATTAGCATGGTTTATATCATACTTATCTGACCATTATCAGTTTGTAACATGAAGAGTCTTATCGATCACAAGTTCAGTATGGCGTACCACAAGGCTCGATATTAGGACCGCTGCTATTCACTCTGTACATGCTACATGTACCATTAGGAGATATCATTAGGAAACATGGAATTAGCTTTCACTGTTATGCTGATGATACTCAGCTTTATATTTCTTCAAAACCTAACGAAACTTACCAATTCACAAAATTAACGGAATGCATAGCTGATATAAAACAATGGATGTCTAGTAATTTCCTACAACTAAATTCTGAGAAAAAAATGATTCTAATTAATGTCACGCGTAACACGTAACGTCTAACACTTGATGGCTGCTTTGATAAGTCTTCGTCATCGGTTAGAAACCTAGATGTGCTCTTTGATACCAATCTCTCATTTGAAAGTCATGTGTCTAGTATCTGTAGAACTTAAAAATATATCTAAATTATGCCATATGCTCTCATTGTCAAATGTGGAACAGTTAGTTAATGCGTTCATGACATCAAGACTAGATTATTGTAATGCTCTACTGGGTGGTTGCCCTGCACACTTAATAAACAAACTTCAGATTGTTCAAAACGCAACAGCTCAAGTTCTTACCAGAAACAGGAACTATGACCATATTAGCCCGGTTCTGTCAACCCTGCATTGGCTGCCTATTAAACATCGTATAAATTTTAAACTATTGCTGATTTCTTACAAAGCACTAAATGGTTTAGCTCCCCAGTACTTGATCGAGCTCTTAACACATTATAGTCCTTCACGCCTATTGCGATCTTGGAATTCAGTTGATAATAGCTCGAATATCAAAATCGGCTGCAGGCGGTATAAGATCCTTTTCCTATTTAGCACCAAACTTCTGGAACAATCTTCCTAACATTTTCCGGGAAGCAGACACACTCTGTCAGTTCAAATCTAGACTAAAAACACATCTCTTTGGCCTAGCATACACATAACACACTATAGACTTCCTTAATTCAAAATTAGGCTGCATAGTTTAGAATAGATCACCCTCGGAACCAGGAACACGTCCCGTAAATCCTGATGTACTACTTGGTACATCATTAGAAGGATGGGGTCAACGCTAATATTAGTCTCTCAGTTTATCCCGAGGGACCCTCTATCATGGACCTGTTTTTTGTTTTGAAAGATGTCTCTTATGCTCACTAAGACTGCATTTATTTTATTGAAAATACAGTAAAAACAATAACATTGTGAAATAATATTAACAAATTTAAATAACTGTTTTCTGGAGCATCACATGTAATAATTCAGAAATAATTTTAATATGGTGATTTGATGCTCAAGAAATATTAATGATTATTATCAGTTTATATGTTGGGTCTATTATGACTTTTCCTAATCTATATATATATATATATATATATATATATACACATCATTTATCATAATTATGGCGATTATTATTTTAATTCGAATTTTTAACAATTCATATAAATGTTGCATTATGTATGTATGTATAAAGTGTGCATTCAATTAATCATGCTTTTTTTTAAAATCTGAATGGTGAAGACAATAGAAGTAGGCTACACCTGCCATTTTAATGTTTTTTTCTAGAATTATTTTTTCCTATTTCAAAATTACCCCAACAGAAACAATGTAACTAATAAATAATCAGATTTTCCGTGGTATAACACAAGGGCGCAACTTCAATTAAATCTTTTATTAGGAGGAACTTACAATAATTTGAATGGAAAATAATAGGTTAATTTCATAATGACTCTCCAAGTTGATCAGAAAAACGAGGGTTGATTATTATTGACTTCACCTGTATTTTACTTGCCATTACAGAATATTCAAGGCACTTATAACCGCTTAAGAAATTGCCATGCAGTATCAGACATCTTTCCCATCGTGATCAATAACTTCACGAAAGCAGGTTGTGGTTGAATATGTTTTAGCGGATATGATGCATTACAGACTATACTTTACAGACAGCACAGCACTAAGTGGTTTTATGTCCTTGATAAGTGGGGCCAATGCCAGTAAGTCTGAGAGAACACATTTAGTTTCTCTGAGAGCCTGCACAGTGTTCGTGTTGGTCAGAGATAGATTACTCCCCCCTCTGTACTTTCTCCATGCTCTCACACAGAATCAAAATGCTTGACCAGCAAAAAAGGTGATCACTCTCGTTCCCCCTTTCTTTTTGTAATGCAATTGCTTTTTAAAGTTGTTGATAATGTTTTTAATTACATTTTACATTTTCGAATTGAATCACACAAAGCTTTTGTGGTGCTGATGAGCTTGTCTGACTCATTATTTTTAACGAACCAAAAGTCTCTCGAGACCATCGGTTTCTCAACTCCAGCGCAGCAGCACCAATTAAACAGTGGAATCTGTGAACATATCAAGAGATTGGTCAGAGTGGCCAATGCTGATCTCCGGGTCACTATTGGAAACAAGAAACTGAAAAAGAAAAGGAGTGACAGAGAAAAAGAAAGAGACAGAGGGAGGTTGTTCTAGATTAGTTCATGCTGTACAGCGGTTTGTCCATGTATCCTGCACATGGCAACCTTTCCCGGCGGCTTTGTGTCAGGCTTTCTGTTCTGTACCACAGAGAATCGCACCACAGTTGTTTTTCTATTACCCACACTCTTATACCGGAGCTTTTTGCTCACGAGAACTACAATCCCCCTGGACTATTCACTGCCAGCCCAGGCTGCTGTCAATCAAAGTGTTGTGTTTGATTGTGTAAGCAAGTGCGTTCGGGTCTATCCATCCATTCTCTGATCCGCTCGTACAGGGTGGCGGGATGTACGGGTATGGTGTGCAAAGCATTTGGAGATTATCATAGTGAGAATTAAATGGCAAATCTAAGCAAATGTCAAGCATTATTTTTTCTGTCTGGTTTCCTCCTGGATATGGGCTGTTCACGTGTTTATTTAGAAAAATAAATCGGGTTTGAGGTGATGACACTTTTTTTTTTTCTCCATTTCAGTCACCTGATGGAGTTTGGGTTTTTTTCTACTGTCGCCTCGCCTTTGGCTGGCTTAGCTGGGGTTTAAAAGACACTTAATATTTAGTAATGTTACTGATTTGACACTATTGAACTGACTGAGCTGGATGATGACACTATAGTCTTTTGCAGAGCTGCTTAATATCTGAATCGAATTTGTTTCATAATAGATTGATTTCGCAACACAGTTATTGAACTGAATTGAATCAACATGAACTTAATTGAGTTGAATAAAAGACACGATTTCCTTATATAGAACTACTTGTGGTAAAATATGAACTTGAAAACACAGTTATCGAACTGAACTGACATGTTCAGTTTGTTACTGTGAAACTGCAATGTAACAATCTGTATTGTAGCACTATATAAAAAGGTAACTTGAATAGATGAAAGAAGACTCGAGACAAAATTCCACTTAAAACTGGACACATTTTACTGTAAAACAGATTAAGAAACATTTCCAGTGTTCACTGCTGTGAAGAGGTTGTACGAGGCAAAACAAACAGTTTTAGAGCAAACTACTTTCCTGAATAAAACGTCTCATGTTAAATACTGTGAACACTGAGCTAAAGAGATAGAAACTATGAGCTTAAACTCGGTCATTTAAAGTAGCAAAATGACAAGATGAGCTAATTTGCTTAAGACATATTGACCATTTATCAGAACTAAACACTATAATATACTGTATTTGGCAGACTAAGAAAACCATACATGTTTACTTCCAGCACTCCTCAAATACTTTTAGATATTGTAATAAAGGCTATATTAAAAGTATCATTGCTACTGACAATGCTTTAAAGTGATTAGTATTACCAGTAAGGCCTTGCAGAAAATAAGAGACATTATGCAAGACTGCCCCAAAAACAGGGTCCTGGAGACCTTTTCTCTTCTCCAAGCGGGGCACATCAAATCCACACCAGAACCATTTAAACTAATTCTATTTAAATATCAACATACCAGGCTTTGCTCCACAAAGTCCAAAGGGAACTAACAACAATATGGTGTTTTCTTAAAACATAATGTATCAGTGCCTCATCGAGTTTAATGTTTACCAATTACAGTATTTAATGTTCGATTTAGCATCACCATTTCTTTAATTGCTTTATATGTGGGAATCATGAATAATTTGTACAGTTAGAGAAAAACTGCCTGAAGCCTTCAAATATTATTGCCCACCACATTTGTCATTCTCCATTATGTTCCAAAACCAGTGGCTGTGGTAAAAATTAAAAGGATGCCGTTAGAAACATAAATAGCATCCAAAATATATTTAGACAACAGTGTCCTAGAAGCAGCACAGTCTGTCCTAGAAACAATACAGCTCATTTTACAATGTCTATTGCTACAGAAAATAGATTGGGGGTGGGGGGGATGCACAACTGTGGATTTATTTGTAATGAGACACTCGTTCTTGACAAAATGTTCTTCCACCAAACTCTCCTTTCATTTCCTAAATCCCACCCAACATGACATAACTAAATGAGCTTTCTGATCAACACAAGGCCATATACATGGCAAACACTTATTGCAAGAGTAAGTATTCACGTTTCACACCTGACTTGCCATAGACCTTTTAGCAAATCCAAATGGCTCCATGATTCATATTCATAACTTTCTATTTTACACTCTATCATGATATAGCATACAATGACTTTGGTCGAAACAGTGCAGGGAGGATTACATATTGAGTTTAAATGAGCAAGACATGCATTCATCTAAACGTATTTAAAGAAGCGGTCGGGCTGTTTTGATTGGATCTAATCTGAACACAATCCGTTTTCCCGATGGCCCTGCAGAAACACAGATTTTGTGCTTTATTTGATTTTCAGGGCATCTACACAAGTGATGAAAAGAGATGTGATAGATCAACAAGGAAAACAGATACGCATCGTTGACATCTCAGTGCTTTAAAGCTAAAACTCACTCACAAACACAGACATAGATAAACGCGTAATTCAGCACAATATACTCTCCATGGCTTTATGCTCTAAATATAGCGATTCTAGGAATGCTTTTTCTGCTGGCTTCCATTGGATATTGCAATGCATTCCCATCTTCACATTATTACACCAGTAACCACATTACACTTTTTCTATCTGGCAGCTTTCTATGACATGCTGCACCAGCTGCTGATGTTTTGCACTTGAACATCCACTCGTGATGATTGAAGATTACAACTATCTACCGAATTATCTGTTCGGTGCATCCAAAACACACCCACACACCAACTACGGCGATTAGAGACCATGTTTCTCCACAGAGGACCACTTTAAAGGCTAAATGTACTATCCTGTATACTATGAAAAAATTACAGTCAAAACCACTTACTATTAAAGAGAAATACTGCAGATACAACTGCACTGACTTATCAGAAATAAGCGTTCACCTACAAAGAAAAAAACACCACAACACAGAGTGTGACATCACATCAAATACATACAGATGATTATGTCAAACAAAGAGACACGATTCAAGCGTAAACTCGCTAATTGTCTAATGTTGTCTATAGGTTCAAACTCAATACATTTTAAAATCTTATTTAAAGTTTTCTTAAGATGCTAGAAAATTTTGAAAAACTTTGAAGCTAAAGGACAAAATCTGCCAATCTAAATGAGCTTCTTCTACACATGCCTTAATGTCACACATACAGTGTGGAATTTTAAGTCTATAGAAATCTAAAATGTCTCAACACACACAAAGCCCCTGATACAGATTTCAAGTGTTATTTCAACCCCATTCATGTAGCTCAATCCTGTGGACTGAACAACTTCCTAGTGAATTAAAAAAAAGTTTCTCTTTTGTCTCATCTCTCTCTCTAAAGAAGGTACAGTACAGAGTGAAACCTGAGTAATATTCCCTCTCGTGAAAAAAAACCCCCAAAACACCATAGTTTAACAACTAAAAAGTGCAATATTATGCCAAAACATAAAGTACAGTAGTTATTTTAAGTTAGAGTGAATATATGTACATACAACAGTAATGTAGTTCCACAGTTTCACCTGCACCTGTAGTGAATAACATTAGAACCTCGAGTACTGTTTAGTAAATGGCCTTATTTCATTGTCCCTGTTAGTTCACCACAAAAACAGCTACTCAAAAATATTTAAAAAAACAGATCTGTTCTTATTTTTCAGTGTTATCACAGCTTTCTCAATTCTCAAAGAAATTGAACATTATTTTCTAGACCTCAAACAGGCTAAAAGATAGGACCTGCTGATATCTCGCGAATGTTTTCCTGTCAGGCTGAAAGCTCGAATAGATGGGTTGAACACACAGCACCTACAGTAACAGTAATGGCTGCTTCCCCTAGTGTTTCATCTGAGGGCAGATGATTCAAACATTATCTCAATGTCATCCATCCTCATCCTGAACCTCATCTTCCTCCTCCATCTCAGGGCTTTTCCAGCCAGGCTCTCTCTCTCGGGAGGGAACGTTGCCGCATGGGCTCTAAAGTAAGCTACCTGCCTCTTGGGCTGTTTAAACCAACGACAAAATGTCACAGAAGGTCATCATAGTCGAGAAGTTTGGAGTGCTGGCGGCTCTTCCACAAGCGGTAGAGGCGGAAGTCGAAGTACATTTCGATCATCTCCTTACCTAAGAGTGGAGAGATCACAACATATTTAGCTCTCCTTAAAATAACGGACCATCAAATCACCGCTGAGTAAAATAGATCTACATTAGGAAGCCTTTAAAGGCATTTGTGGGTGTTTTAAATACTGTTCTCTATTTAAAACAGTGGTAATTATCCTCAACAGTGCAAATCAAGCTGTGTAGAGTCCATAGGGGACTAAAAGGAGACAGAAGAGGAGGGAGGGGAGCAAGTGGGCCTCCTGAGTCCAGAGACAGGAACAGTAGGAGAAGATGAGTTTTAATTGGAGAATAATTACTTTCAAATCAATAGCAGTGGCACTGATGAGAGTCAGAGAGTCGGGTCAGAGTTCACGTGGCACATTGAAATCTCCATACTGTGTATGTGATCGGCCACCCAAGCGTTTATTTGAGAGACCACCATAGCCAGATAAACAGATAGAATTGATTTTTTTTAAATGCATTTTCGTAGTTTGTTTACCGCACGTGTGTGTGTGTGTGTGTGTAGTACACTCACCCTGAGCTGACAGCTCCAGAGGAGACTTAAACTCAAGGGCATGAGGTTTCATCAATCTCTTGAGGTTTTGAAAAAGCTGAGGATGAGAAAACTTTTCTGTTACTTTTCAATTTTCACAGTTGTTAAATCTTCAAATTTTCAAAAGACCTTCGATATTACACCCAATATCCCAAATAAAGACTGAAAACGGATATAACATATATATTTTTCAATGATCAATGCTAAAATCAATATTCGAAGAGCTGGGAGGTTGGTTACAATAAAATGCAGATACAATACACAAATACATTATTTGATACACACACATTTGATACATATAATTTAAAGAACGCAAATGAAGCAAAATTGTTATTTGATTACTTTATATACTTAACAATAAATAATGTAGTACAGTATATCATGTAGTATATATATAATATGCAATATTGAATACTTGTTATTGTTATTATATACACACAATATTTAATAAAAATTATAATTAGTGATCATAGAAATTGTTATTAGTATTAGTTTGGTGTATATATATCTCAAAAATATAAACTTTCCAATAATAAAAGTGTTATTTTAATAATAATAAAATATATATTATTCTTAATAAAATACTGCTTCACGTTATTATTGCTATTACCTATTTACTCATTCACAATATAATAAATTAAATTTTGTTATTTTTGTGTGTAACAACACAAATAGCAAGTATTCAATAGTAATAATAATAATAATAATTAAGCAGTAAAGCATTCAAATAATATATTTTTTATTAAAATAATACATTATTATTATTAATATTATACTCAAATAAAACTGATTAGGCTGTCTGTACATTTCAAATTGGCCAAATATTGATCTATAGGTGCTATACAAGTCTGTAACTAAAAGCTAACCAAAATCTTAACCTTCTCTCTGGTCGACTTGATAATCTGACTGCACAGGCTGATAATAATAGGAGCCAAACCATACAGCGATGTGAGTGCATCATAAACTAGAGGGAGCTGAACAGGGCAACTGGTGGAGTGTTAAACTGTGTTCTGCCATGCTGTGATCGACCTTCGCTGGAGGGGCTCTGGTAGTGTCAATGAGAATCCTTCATATCGGGACAAAGCCTGTCAGAGTGCATTAATTGCCTCCTGCTATTCTCCTTCCAATCCTTTGACTTCTGTTTCTCTGGATGTCAGTATAATCTCTCATTTGGACAGCTATTCTGAAAGCCATTCTTCCATCTCTCTAAATCGATCATGAAAGCCACAGAAAGCCTTATAAATCCAGGGTCAGATAATCAATCTCTTTCCATGGTAGTGAAGGCCAGGCCATTCGTAAACCAAAGTGCTCGCATTAAAAATCTCCTTGCATCAGGATATACAAATATGACTCCTAATCACGAAAAGCAATATTAGCAGCTCAAATCAAACTAGCAACAGAAAAAAAACGGGACACATGGGGAACTGGCTCAAAGGTAATGATTATAATGATGCTGAGCAAACTAATCCCTTGCCTTTATTCAGTATAAGATTACAAATGGTCATTACAACTTAATTAGCTTTCTTCCTGGTATTGAACACACAAGATACTTTATATGGCCAGCTGCTGCTACCTTGACACGGCTAATAGAAAAACAAATCACAGGGACAGTCTATAACCGTTATCTAATTTTAACACTACAACAAAAGAAAAGGCAGGAGTTTAAAGGCACAGTTCACTCAAAAATGAAAATTCTCTCATCATCATGTTTTTCCAAACCTGAATGACTTTCTTTCCATGAATCACAAAAGCAGACATTTTTAAGAACATACTGCTCGCTATTTGCCTTATATTAAAACAAATGGGAGCTGGAGCTTTCAAGGTTCAAAAGGGACACAAAAGCAAAAAAGTATAAAAATATTTTAAAAATCATACGCATTCTGCATGATATTCCAGAGTTATGTGATGGACATATTAGATGCCACTCTTTAGAAGTGGATCGCTAAAAATAATTTGATACGGTTCATAAAACCAGTCTGAATGATTTGTTCATGGATCGGACTGATCTTGTTCTCAACTCAATGACTTAATGATCATTGACTCAAAACTCATATGGCCTACTTATAAGACACTTTTACAGTATTTTTGTGTCTTTTTGATTAATTGTAATTGCATGGAAAAGAGAAATGTGTACAAAAAATTTTTATACAGGTCTGGGATAATATGAGGGTGAGAAAGTGATGATTGTACAGAACTATTCCTTTAAAAACAGAGAGAAGGCATAAAGCTATAGGGTTGCTTTCTGCTGCTGCACCTGGTCAGAATCTATATATAGCAAGTTCACTGAAGCTCTTTCCCCTTCAGATGGAGCAGGAGCCATGGGGGGAAATTGCTAAATGCAGCGAAAAAGCCTTCATGTTTCTTTCTTTTTTTTCTTTACTCCAGTTATATTCTCTCTGTAGATCTGCTTCAGAAACCGACTGGATGAAATGCTCATGTGGCAGAAATTTTTGTGAGACTCTAGTTTTGTGCATGGTTATGTGTGTACTTCAATCAGGGACTCTGTGTACTTCAATCAGAAGACTGCATCCAAATTTGTTTACCAAGTGTCTGTCATACAGGTGCGCCATGGGGTTTTCAAACCTCAGCATAATGGTGTTGCAGAGCACTAACTATGCTTAAAAATGATCTGTGATTTGCAGGAATCCTTTGCATATAGACATGGAAAAATAGGGCAAAATCCTAGACATTTTGCCTCACAACACCTCCTCATGGTTCAGAACTCATCAGTGTACACTTCAAAAAGTGGACGCCAATCAAAACATGTATTCTAACATATTTGTTTGCACTCCTGTGATTTATTTTTGATCTCAGTCACGCAGCGTCCTGAATGAAGAAAATAACTTTTCAAAAATGAGATTTTAATCTGATCTGAAACGATTTATGGATACATCTTGAATCAGGTTTGTTATTTTGGACGTTTAGCATGATAATACCACCGACATAAATACCACGGTAGTCATTCAGTACCATCTGATACGGTGGGTTACACCGCAGTACTTTTCTGAAAGTGTTTATTGTTATAAGCCCATATCCAGCTTGGCATAACTGAATACATGTACAGAGCTGTGGTGGCCAGAGGCAACTGTCAGTGTGTGCCACTGAGAGACTGCGTGTGTGTGCATGTTGGAGTGTGTGAGAGTATATGAGGAGGAGGGAGGGGTGACAGACTGTCTATCTGTCAATCACAGAGCAGTTGCTTGTCAATCTGGCACCCTGATCTCCTGGAATCATATCCCTGCCTCACCCTGAACACAATCCAACCAGTCTTCCTCTATTTCTCATGCACATAACTGTCACAGCATGAAAGCACATGGAAGAATGAGGCTGGGCAGTCGTGTCAGCTCTGCAAACGTGCTAAAACCCATATAATATAACATGAATATAATGGGTAAGACTGATATACAGACTATAAAATGTAATATAGTCTATAATCTAGAAAAAGACTATAATCTTTCTATCTATAGACTGAATATTCATTCAATTCCCCTCTATCTCTCACTCATAATTTCCTGAATTGTCTTTATGATAAAAATCCTATGTAATGAAACAGTGGTTAAAACACAAAGAAGGGGAGTAGACATTATCTACCTTTTCTCCATTAGCATTGCCGAGCACATAGCAGCCCATAATGTGGATGAGGTTGGGCTCAGGATTTAATAAACTCATGAATCTGCCAAGTCTCTTCCAGAACCTGCACAAAAAAGCTCAGAATTATTACAAATTAGGTTACATGACTTTTAACAGTTGATAATCTTGATATTGCAAATTTCATTGAATTGACATTAGAAAATATATATTTTGCAACAGAACGCCATCTTCAAGTAAGCTGCACAAAATAAAATGAGCAGAGATCTTGAATGATTTATCAGTACATAAAGAGGTCCTCTTTGCAGCGTGATTAACAATCATTGAAATTTTGAATTAATAATATCCTGTATTTCCACCATCTTGTGGGTTGTTGATTATAATGGGAGCATTCTAGTTGTCATACACTGCCAATAGAAAATGACACAACAGGAGTGGACCAAAAGGCAATTTTTCAGATTTAATTAACAAGCATGCAAACTCATCAAGGGTAAAAAAGGTGATGAAGATGTGACTCCCCTTGCCATGTCCATGTTATTTGTTTTATACCATTTTGATGTTCCACTTTAGACATTCTACTAACTAAAAGTAACTTTGCAACTAGAGTATTTTGCAACTTTGCAATTAGAGTATTAGTAGAGTGTCTGCTTAATATCCGCTATCACTTTATTTTGATGCGCCCCCAACAGATGTTGAACTGACTATAAAGCTGCGTTTCCATCTGATAACAAACGTCTACTTTTATATCTAGCATTACAAGCTTTTTGAATACGCTTTGGATGTCTCTTTTCTGCAGTTTTGCACTCAAAACAAACACGCAGATTGGGAGGAGCAGTCGCACGCAGTTCAACGTCACTATCTTCCCGCCCACATTTAACATTTACGCATTTAAACGCAGTAAGTAAGCAGTCTGAGGCAAAAAAAGTTCCTATGAAAAAAGTTCCAGGGACAAATAGTTCCTGGTAATTGCGGTGGAAACGCGGCTTAAGTAGCTTTGCAACTACATGTCGAATTATTCTACTAACCTGAACCCTAAACTAACAGTTTACTAAAGTCTAATAATACTAATACTAATGAAATAAAGTGTAATCAAATACTGTGCATTACTTCTTTTACCTCTTTTACGATAAACCACAGAGCTTTTATTTTGGCGGAAATACCGAAGAGAGACCTTAAAGTTTCGCTTACAGTATGTTGACAACAGGTTTGTAAATCTGTGAAGCATTTTAGCATCCCTGAATTCATTGTGGGAGACACCATTGTAATCTCAGTTTGTTTGTTTGTTTGTTTGATTGTTTGTTTATTACATTGTGAATCACTATTACAAATAGAAAAAAGATACAGAACTGTTTTGTGAATGTAAACTCACTGTATCATGTCCTCCTCCTTCTCTACTTTAGCAAATGTGGCCACTTTGTTCTTCAGTAGGTAGAGATGACCTGGACCTCCCTGGAGAATAAAGAGAGCCAATTATGCAGTGGAAAATAACATGCACATAAATACTCCACATGCACACTTGTGAAAAAGCAAGATATGCAAATTATCACACACATATCTTTTTACAAACCTGACAGAAGATGAGCATGTTCCAGATTTTGCAGCCTTTTCTGTAGGCGGTGAGTTTCTTTTCAATCTCCTCTGAAGAGAAGAGAGATGAGAAAAGACAGATAGCACAGAAGTGGAGAGGGAGGCAGCAAGGGATCATATGAAATTACAGCCCAGTTTTTTCATAGTAAACAAACAGCAGAAGTAAACATTAGGCATAGAAAAAAAAAGTGTCTGGCCAATTAACACGTACCTAGTATATCATCGAAGGTGGCATGTTCATGATCCTGCAAGCAGAATACAGGGCCAGCATGAACAACAACAACAACAAAAAACGGCATAAATCTGAGACAGGAATTATCAGTTGGTAAATATTACGTCACATATTTATTTGAACATAACTTAAGCATAATATATGCGCTAAATCAATAGCTTGGCATTACAAAGCAGTTATCTGCAATCTCGAACAATGATGATTTGCACTACTAAAACTTGCATGCGAGAGCTGACTGGCAGACATCATTAGCGGTGCTTAACACAAGGAGCTTTATACAAATAATCAAAACTTTGATGCTCTTTGATCCTGTGTATGACTGCATCATTAAACTATACTCACATAGAGAATGGGGATTATGGAGGGGTCGTCCCGGCGGATTATGTCAGGAACGTACTCGGCCTTTGGTACTTTTGATGAAATTAGCTGTTCAAAAACAAGGATGAATAAAACACATGTATATTAATGAGCCCGACGATGATCAAAAAGGTGCACTACATTTATGAGAAATTGATGATGAGTTCATAAGGCAGTTGGCTCATTTCAAAATGGATGAGGGTGATTGAAATATTTAGGTACCATAATTTTGGGTGGGATGAAGTCATCACCCTCGCAGGCTGCTCTTTCTGACTCTCTCTCTTCCTCCCAGTCGACATCATCACAGTTTTCTTCATCCAGATTGCCAGACGACGCCTGGAGGTCTCCACCTGGGGAAAAGGTAATATGCAAATACACAGAAACACAACAAAACACAAGCATGTAAACAACCAATGAGATGCCAGGTTCTATCTACAAAAATCTTCATGTCTGAGAGGTTAGTCGTTCTAACATGACCTCTCCTGCTTGTATGTGAGGAGAAAGTCTCACAAAACAATGCATGTAGTGCCATATAGGACACAAAGAGAAAGCACACATATAGACAGCAAAGTACATCTGTGGTTAACAGACATTTAACACATGCACAGATGCTGATGATGACGAATAGCACAATGTATGAATTTAGCACAATGCACAAATGGATGCCTCTAGAGAACATGTCAATTTCATATTTAAGATTTTTTTTTTAATTCCTGAAATTTAAGATTAAATTCTGCCACCAAAAAATCATATTCTCATAATAAAAAAAAATAATGAAAAATGGCAGTTATTACTGTAAATGTATAAAATGTACTACAAAAGTTTGGGGTTAGTAAGATTTCAGCAAGGATTCATTAAATTGATCAAAAGTGACAGTAAATACATTCATAATGTTACAAACGATTTCTATTTTAAATAAATGCTGTACTTTTGAACTTTCTATTCATCAAAGAATCCTAAATTATTATTATTATTTTTTAAAGCCCCAAAATTAAGCAGCACAATGGTTTTCAACATTGATAATAATAAGATATGTTTCTTGAGCACCATATCATCATATTAGAATGATTTCTGAAGAACCGTGCGACACTGAAGACTGAAAATTCAGCTTTGCCACCAGAGCAATACATTTAATTTTAAAAAGTATTTAAGTAGAAAAAAACATTACTTAAAATTATAATAATATTTCACAATGTTACTTTTTCACTGTACGTATTTTTAATCAAATAAATGTAGCATTGTATTGGTGAGCATGATACTAGATAGACAAATATTTACCAGCCCCAGACTTTCGAACGTTAAGTGTCTTTAAAAATATAAACATGATAGCATAATAGTTGGCAAGAACAGAAATATCAAACAGAAAACATGTTTGTAATTGTTATGTTTAAAGTTACGTTTAATAAGACTAGGACATGATCTTGACAGGCATCATAAGATTTGTATATGAATGTTTTGTGTGGGTGACCAATACATGTACTTAAATCAGAAAATGATACACCATGGCTGTGTGTGTCTTTCTCTGTGTGTGTGTGTGTGTGTGTGTGGACTCACTGTCTCTGGAGTCATGGAGAGAGTCAGGCTTGACGGGTGTAGGGTCACTCCAGGAGCGGCTGAAACTCTTCGCTTTGCGATCAGCAAATGCTAATAACAAAGCGGAGGAGGAAAGCATCACACACACTGCTCTTCAACACACACACACACACTCTGGGCTCTTGTCTGAGGTTGGGATGTGACATGTTTGAGGATTTCTCGACTTTAGGCTGACTACTTCTAAATATTAGAATCAATTTCACTCTGTATACTGTTAACACTTCTTGATAAGAGAGAGGCAAGGTATTCAGAAACTAATTCACATTGCTAGTTGTATATCAGACAAGCGCATCGGTTTCATCCTTGTGACCAGATGACTGAAGCATCTGTGACCCCTGAAAATAATTCATCTGACACCATGAATTATTGTCAAGCAATGGCATGTTCACATATCTGCATTGAAAAAAAAAATCACAAAATTTGCACACATTACTCACTCTGGGTCTTCACCTTCCTGCTGCCCACCATCCTCAAATGTTTCCGGAAGTTTCTGGGATAGAAAGGATTTTCAGAAGCAAAGTAGATTGGAAAGAGGTATAAGATGAGAGGGGGAAAACACAAGTAGAATGGGAAATGGAGTAAAAGGAGACAAAAATGGAAATGTTAAACACACTTTCAAACAAGCATGGCAGATTACGGACAGGGACGAGTGTTTGAAGTTATACAACAAGCTCAGTGCACTCCAAACAAATCTCCAGTCCTCAAAAAATAGGCAAACATAAACAGTTTGTCCCAGTTTGACACCGCTTCAGAAACACATTTACAATCTGTGTGTCAGTATTTTCAGATATTTAAGCTCACTGTTTGATCTTTTAGCTTAAAGTCACCAAGAAATCTAAATGGACATTTCTTATATTTTATGGAATATTCCACTGTTTATTGTAAATAATTTATCTGTGCAAGTTTGTTGGTCATCATGTGCCCTCTCTTCAATCAAAATAACTTCCCCTCACTCATCTGACTCTTCAGGACAATAATTCCTTCTTTCCATCAAACTGTCACTCACATGAGACCACAGCAATTGACCTTTCGTTGACCCCTCCCCCAAAAACAGCCATTGTCCAATCACACATCATAGCAACCGTTACTATGTGAGCAGGTCCATCAAACATTGACTCCAAGCAAGATGTTGAAGCGATACGCCCACGGCATTTGTAAATCAGACACTATGTACCCTGATAGATTGTCTGGAGGAGTTGTGCCAACAATGGATAAAAGTTAAATACTGTATGTCGAATATGGTTATTTCGCGAGCAGCGTGCGTGAGACTGAGGCACTGAGATTCAGTTAGTCAAAGAAACATGGAGAAAGCAGATCAAGAGGATCCACAAAAGAATTACATTTTCTAAAGTGTTGTTGTTAACATAAGTTATTCTAGGGGGAAAATGAGCAGCAGTCAACTACTGTAGCAGTGCAGCACCTGTAGACTACAGTTTAGAGTACACGTTCGCTACGGGGAAAGCATCAAGCTTACTTGACCACATCAGTTCATATATCAATATAGTAACGGATAAAAATAACCTTAAATAATGTATGGAAATCTGCATCTTTCCGTCTCTTATGTAGTTACTTTTTAAACACGAAAATCGCATTTCCAACATCTTGAAGCTGCTTCATACGTCCAATCGGAAGTGAGCATCCCTATGCCTTACTCACTCTGAATAGCAGAACATGACCATCAAATATTAAATTACTTCCTTGACGTGACCACTTCATGTTTCCTTCACTAACGAACTAGTGGAAGGGGTCTTCGTGAAGGGATTCAGTTGTTAACTTTCGTTTGGAACGCTCCTACAAATGGCTTCCCCTCCCGAGAGTGCAAAAACGCAGTTTGGAATTTTCCCTTGGTTTCATACTGACTTTAAATGAACATAATAGAAATCTGAAATCTTCTAACTTAAACGTGCACCAAATGAGCTTTTTTTTTTCCACTTAAAAGTCTTACTACTTTTGAATATACTGTATGTTTAAAATTGTGAATATAAATATGAAAATAAACTAGAGAAATTACTCTAGTAAAGTCAATGGCCAAGTAAAATCTGTTTTATTCTGCAGGTCGCCGCCTCATGGAGGCCAACAATTTGTGAGATTACATGATCTGTCAAATACTACTCTTCTTTATGGGTGGAAAAAAAAACAGGGTAAATAAGGTATTTTTACAACAGCATTGGTAACCAAATACATTTGATTTTGTGTGATGTAACATCCATGCAGATAGATGTCAGTATAAACACTGTATTGGCCCGTGAAACATTAAATTACCAACTTCCATACTATATGGTACAGTATGTGAGCCGAGTAGTACGTCCGAAATCATAATATTCATAAAATTGTAGATGAAAAGCACCGGATGACCTGTACAACTTCCGTCGAGATTCTAAAGTGTGCATCTGATGGGCACTTTACTATCCCATGGCGCCACGGGATATGATTTGTGAATGGCAAGGAAGCAATGGATGAAGTATGTCTGAAATTTCATTCATACTATATAGAACTATGTACTTTTTTAACAGTCAAAGTAAATTTCAAACCAAATGTAGTGCCTACTATACAGTATATGATTTCAGACACAGTCTTACATTCACCTCTGGGTACGTGTTAGTGCAGTAAACCTTGCAAACAATATGAATAACGTCATGAAGCACAGTAAAATTGTGTATTGTTTTTGCAATATGTTTTTTTATTACTGAGTTCTGGGGACTTCGAAAAATCGCACACAGAAAATTGACTACTACAAACTGCCTCATCAGAGAATGAAAGCAAGTTCAGTTGACCCACTCCTTCAACACTGACAGCCTTCCTCCTCTCATTAGCACTCTACACTTGTTCTCAGTGCATCATGTCACCATGGTTACACCGTAGTGTAGTATTGTAGAGTAAGTCGTGGAGAGGTAGGTGGTCTTTCCTCATTTGCCAAAAAGTAATAGAGCAGTTCACATACTCAATGTGGAGCCTTTAAAATAAAAGAGAGCTGGGTCAGGCATGTAATAATGAGGCAATTTGGCTTACCGATGGCCACAGTGTAGAGTAAGCATTTTGTTTCTGCAGTCATGATGCAGTTGCACAACACCACAATATTAGAAAGAAGCACAAGGACCTAAACCAGTAAAATATACTGCAGTAAAAACTAATTTTCTTGCAGTATGCGTAGCAGAGGACATTTTTTACAGCATGTACTGTACCTGTGCCTCTATGAGCCTCTAATCAAATTCACCAACAAAAGAGAAAAGGTCTTTGTTTAATATCACTGTTATATTTGAGATGCCTACAGTACAAAGACCATGGTGACAGTGCATCTGTATAGTTGTCAGAACCGCTTTTCTCCTTATGTCCGTCTTGTTGACAGCCTTCTAAACTGCTGTCAACGTCAATGTGCCGGCTGAGAGGGAAAGTGTGCAGATCTTCATCAAGTTTCAAAAATAGAAGCGCGTATCAAGAGAACTATGAGAATCATTGTTAATTAGACGCTCTAACGATCTTAATCCTCATGTGTGAGCGAGCTGAAAATAGAGTGATCAGTCAGTCGCCGGATTTTGACACGTTGATCTTCAGAGAAATATATATATTTCGATTGCTTTTATGAATAATTTAAGAATATAACATACTGTAACACATTTCTTAAAAAGCACATCCATTAAAAATTGGAACAACAGAAACAGCTCAAATAAAACGACTGTGCCAGAAGATTTAGAGAATTGTTCTACTTTTTTTTATCTGATGAAACTCAGTACAATTAAAACTACTATGAGCTGCAATGTATAGTTCACTGAAAATGCTGTCATGATTTACTCACCCTCATGTTGTTCCAAACCCATGTTACTTTATGGAACATAGAAACTGTTTTGAAGATTTTTCTCAAAAATGAGAATTGGGGCTGTCAAGCTTCAAAATGATAAAAAGGCATACCCTACCTCTCTTTGATATGTTCAAGATATTCTGATTTGTGAATGAATCACAAAGCAGAATGATGTGTTCACTAATTGAACTGGTCTAATTCAACTGTGAAGTCAACTTACAAAGTATTTAGTTACAGTAGGTTAACATCTCAGAGTAATTATTAGTAAATAAATAAGCTTAAATGTTGGTCTGCCCATCACACACAAAGCTGTATTAGTAAACGACTTTGAATGCAGCACACAAATCAAATGGATATGAATGCATTAAAGGATTTTGTCACCAAGTGGCAAAATTTTGGACCAAGTCATTATTATTATTATTATTATAAAACTGTATGACAGAAGAAAGACACTCTTAAAGGTTTTGAAAGACAAAAAAGTGAGTAAATGATGGCATAATTTTCATTTTTGAGTGAACTAAACCTTTCATGCGCGGTTGTTTTGTAATCCTAATGCAACCAATTATCTGCAACCTTCCCACAGTCAGAGGCTTTTACAGTAATGTTGTTGAGCAGCGTCATGGGATCACTGGAAAACACTAAAAGCTAGATTCACAGTCTGCTCTGTAAAATAAAAGAGGAGCTGAACTCGGTTACACATTTGCTGGGAAGATGAAAACCATATCTGTCCTTTAATTTGTCCTTTTAGGTGAAAATGTCCATTAGTTCTCTAGCAATTCTGCATCATGCTGGGAAGACTTTTTTGATGATCAGGTGAACAAAAGTTTTTAAATATGTAAGCCAACTCAACTAGGTGGAATGAGATTAGCTGTTGAGTTATTCATGGTGCAGATGGCATTATTGTCCTGTGTGACACTAGACTTGAGTTAAATTGTGACACTAGCCTATGTAAGTGAAATTCCGAAAGCGTTCAGTTGTCAGCTGTATCGATTAACACACTCCAGATACTGCACCTTTGGTTATTCGACTGACTTATTGATCTAAGCAGCCAAACACAGAGAGAGAGACACACACACACAAACCCATGTGCTTTATGTGTGTGCGTCTGTGCATGCATCAGGCTTTGCTTTAATTTAAAGGCAGTAAACCGGAAATCACTTATATTGGGGTGGCTAACAGCAATTTAATTTAATGCAACCTTGCTGAATAATAATTTCTTTAAAAGAATATTCTTTTTCTTATTTTAAACTTCATCTCACAATAACTGTTTTTATTTTTTACTCTAGCGTAGAAACTGGCTTCTGCAGAACTCTCTGGGTTTAGATCAATAAAAAGCTGGCTTTCTGCTTGATAAACCTAGTATCACAACTCCACAGGGAAGTGTGCAAAAGAGGAAACAGCTCTCTTCATGTGTAGTATGCCGGATCAAAGTTTGGACTTTAAAGATCTGATGTGATGCACACACCATAATATTACAGTAACACAGGACAACACAAAACACAATTTTTCCGCTTTCTCACTCTACGTGTGTGTGTGTGTTTTGGGAAGGGCCGTGGCAGGACATTAAGGGCATTAGACAGTACCTCTCCATCAGTGCGGTGGCCTCTTGCTCTCTTTTCCTCCTTTTTCTCTCTGCAATTCCACGGAACGCCCTGCTGGGACCGGTCACAGTGTTATAGGTGTGTGTACAGAGAGCGGTGCAAAGGGAAAAGAGTGGCCACAGAAAGGTTCAAACCACAACAGGAGCTGATCACCACCCACAGGTTAAAGGGACACGACTACACCCACGTTCACGAACTAAACACTACGACCACAGCAAAGTCAAGTGTAACAGACACTCGGTCACCAACCAGCACAGAGGATCAATTCACAGAAATCTGTAACATCTGTGTGGGAGTGGTTATCATATCTAGCAGCTTCTATTGTTTTTGACAGGGTGACAGAAGATATAGCCATCATCACTGACAGTTTATGTTAAATCAAACTCCTGTCTCCAGTAGATGAGGTTAATGACAGGCCAGAAGCTACTTTCTGACAGCGCATGTGTGCATTTAATTGCATATATAGGATGTGTCCATGTGACTGCATCCTGAAATCCTTCAGAGCCTTGACAGATTGGCGACAGTCTTGGAACACTGCGTGCAAATCTTGATGAGTGACTTTTCTGGGGTATACTTGGGCTATATTTGTATATTTTGCATGCAATATTCAACAGTGATGGCAGCAATCACCATATTGCTCCTAACAGGGACAGTCTACAATTTTTTCAAGTTTGTTAAAATATATACCACTCATTATAGTCAAAATACAAGCTTTGTTCCAAAATCTAGTCAACAGTCTACCTAGATCTTATTTTAGAAGACCGTAGCCAGGCTCCCGACACGGAAGCTATTTCTATAGTTCATTATTCCGCTCTCTCTAAGATACCTTGTTTTTAGATACAATTTAAGGCTGCATTGCAGATGAAGATGATAAATATATTTCATTCAATATCAAAAAGTACTGATAAATAATTGACATTGTATTTTTCATACATTACAGTTTTACTTTGTATTTTTTTTTTTAATTAGCACAATTTGAATCAATACATCATCAATCCCTTGGTAAGCCTATTATAAGCATTTATACTGTATATTAGACCTAGCCGGATGGTTTTCGTGTCTCGTCATATCCATAAATAGAGAAAAGTTGGTCCTACTTTGATGCGGGTATGGTGTGGAAGTGGCATAGGTGAGTTTTCACAACAAGCGAGAAAGTTTGACATGAAGTATGCTAAATCTTCAACCTCCAGGTAATGAGAACATGACAGAGAACATAAAAAAGAGAACATGACAGATCTTGTAATAAAACAAGAATCAACATTAATTTGGCTTTTCGGAGATTGCGAGAACTGAGGTATTCGAAATATTGTAAAAGGGATGCGGAGATGGCATTTTTATTTCTCAACAGGTGAATAAAGGTATTTTATTGAACAGGTACATTTTCACATGTAGCTCTCTAATTGAGATCAATGTAAAGCATTATCTTTTATAAAGGCTCTTTTCATAATTGGTTGTTGTAGCGCTGTGTTGGAATATATTTTCAATGAAGTACCGTGTCTATTAAGGGGTATAGCTACAGTAACTTCTTCAGCTAGTCAGGTTGAGATTATTTTCATCTACACTGGTGATATCTCTTAAGCCTAATAGTACATGTTTTAAGAGCACCATATTGATCTGCAGTCACACGGAGCCAAAAGCACAACCAAAGAATTTTCTTCCGCAAAATGCATATAGGTTGTTTTTTTTGTTTTTTTTACACTGCGAGAGGGCCAAAAGTTGCCTTTAACATTAGCATGTTAACATGAAACACTGTTTATATGTTATGGATATGTGCCATGTTGCATTGGTTGCCTTAAAATACATTTAGAATGTTCATTTGAGTTAGGTTGAATTCAGTCTTAGTCGAGTTCAACTTTACTCCACATACTGCTGTTGGATTCCTGCACTTTTATCCAGATCAGTCGCCTAAGAGTTTCGAATGTTAGGAATGAACAGTAAGGCTTTCTAGGTCTTTCTCCTACACTGCAGGTGAGATGTGAGTAGTGATGACTGATATTGGTATATCATGAGCATTATTTGTGCTGTATGAGACAAGAGTTCCTCCATAACTTCAAACACTCTGTCCAATGATGGTGGAGTGAGAGTTAACACAGGACAAGGAGAGGTGGCAGCACAGAGGAGCAGAGGGTGGGGATGGAGCGGAGTGTTGACTTTTTAAAACAGTGGGCTAATGAGAAAGGAATACTCACGATATTCTTTAGAGCCAAGGAGAAGCAAAAAAAAGTAAAAGTAAAAAGAGAGAACAGTGCTTTAACCATCACAAGAAAACACATGAAAAGTAAAAAGGAAAGTTATACAGGAAATAGAGTGTCTTTCAAATATAAACACTGTGTCAGGTCTCATGAAAGGATCACCAAGTGCTTTATCATGACCTATTATAGTCAAATCACAGCTCTAAAGCCAAACATTTCACACAATTTCAAATGGTTATAAAGTGAAAGCGTTTCCTTTTACTTTATTCATATAAATTATTATTGTACTTTCTGCTACCAAACTTTATTCTACTTCCGCTTTGTCTGTTTCTGTTTTTGTCTATATGTACAGTTATATAAAAATATTTGAGCCTCTCCTGTATTGTTGATCGAAGACTGTATAGGGGATATATGCTCAATAAAAAAACTTTACAAATGAAAAATAAAGTGAAAGTGTTAATTAGAAAACAGGAAAAGGAGAGAACAAGAATTTAGTAGTTGCAGAGAGAAATAGTTGGACTTAGAGAGTGGGTAGGAGAGCAGAGTTAGGTTGAGGGGGAGATAACATGCATGTCGGCTGGAGGGAGATGGACTGCACCCCAGTGGGGGGGCTCAGCCAGTGGGCTCTGTGATTAAGACTTCTGCCCGACAGGTGATAATTAAGCAGTCAAACTGAGCGAGAGCGTCTGTGCACAGAATGAAGCCTGAATTCACTCGACTCAAAATTTGAAGAATAAACGAAAGAGAAAGAGGGAGAGAAAGAAAAAGATGATAGGATGGGAAAGAAAAAGAGCTAGGAAGAGGACAAAGGAGAAAACAAAAAAGGCAAAGGGGGAAATGGAAGGAACAGATAAATGGAAAGAGAATGAGAAAGAAAGTGAAAGAAGGTTGGGAAAAAGAAAGAGGAAGAGAGAAGGGAAAATGAAGAGGAAAAAAGAGAATCAAGATGACAAAGAAAGAGAAAGAAATGCAAAGAAAAAGTAATAGACAGAGGAGATGAAATAAGCAAAAGAAAAAAAGAAGAGAAGTAAAAGGAATAGAACAAAGACAGCAAAGAGAGAGGAAAGGAAACAAATGGAAAGAAAATTGAAAGATGAAGAAAAAGAGGCAGAAACAAAAGGAAGAGAGTGAGTAAGTGACAGAAGAAGGCGAAAAGAAAAAAGGAACTGGATCAGGAAGAGAATGAAGAAGGTAAAGAGAAAGTATAAAGGAAACAGAGAGACAGAGAATGTGAAAGAACAAGAGGTAGAGAATAAAGAAGGCAAAGGGAAACAGTAATGGAAAGAACTGGAAAGGGTAAAGAGAAAGGAAAAGACGACAAATAAAAAGAGAAAGGAAGGGAAGGAGAAAGAATACTCCTGTCCTCCCACATGCATGAGTCAGGATAGCTTAAATTATATGTCTGCTTCAGAGACCAACCCTACTACAGAGGAAGCCAAAGGATGAAGTGAGAAGTTTGATAAAATGCAATCCCACTCACGCTTGCATGGTGGTGGTCGCAGTCTGAAAGCTAAACATGTTCTCTTTAGGGAACCAGCTGTTCGCGTGATCCTCTGCAAACAAAAAGAGCAAAAGTAACATGTTTTGTGTAAATCTCAAAGTAAAAAAACAAAAACAAATTAACAGTCATTCAGTGATCGTTATCTTCTCCTTACCTCGATCTTCAGAGGACACACGGTCCTCACTGTACATTCTCTCCAGCTTCTTGTGCTGTTTGCCACCACCGTGAGGTGACGTCTCAAGGTCCAGAGAGCGCTGGCTTTGGCAATGTGGGCGAATACAGGCGACACAATCTGGCGTGCAGTCCTCTCTAGACCTGCTCCGTCTCGACCCCCAGTCCCGGATGTTATGGGCACTACCTGAGCTCTGCAAAGGTTGGGTCAGAGGTGCATGGCCATAGTGAGGCTGGTGGCTGGGGCCGTTGTTTCCACGATGGTGGCTTCCTCGATGATGGCTGCTATGTAAATTGGAGGGAGCATTGGTTCTTGATGGGTCTGTGGTCCTCTTCAGCACCTCTAGTTCCAAACTCTCCTCGCTTCCCTGGCCCCTGAGCATATCTCGCTCCCTGGTAATGGTGTAGACACGTGCTGGCTTCAAAGAGCTTTCCGCACGCTTTTGATTCTGCTGGTCCTCAGAAGAAAGGCTGCGTTCTACGGAGAGACGACGCTTGGAACTGGTTTGAAGGGGCGCAGACAGGCTGTCTGGCTTAGCCTCTTCTTGACTGGGCTTGACTGTGAGAGTGTGTTGGGAATATGGCTGGAGGCTGTTATTGTTGTTCAGTCGGTTGATGTCAGGGGAGTCTGTATCTTGACCAATGAAGGTGTCAGACAACAAATGATCTGGAGTGAGAGATAAATAAAGCAAGAAAAACTGATTTTTCATCTTGGGTGCCAATAAAGCTCTTCTATTATGATCAATTGAAAAATGACTGGGTAAATGGTCAAAAGTGGAATTAATGTTAAACATAAAGAATGATGCTTTGGCTAATGTAAGTATTAATACACTCAAGTACTTCACAAACTGTAAAACAGATAAATATGAGGGGACAAAAGACAAGAAGACAAATGAAGGTAGGACATGAGGTGGAATGAACTTAACCTGCTCCGTTGCGGTTCTCAGGGTGTGTGTGAGAAAGATACTCTCCAAATGCTCGAGCTGCTCTGCAGAGACAAACAGAACACCAAATCAGAGCATGGAGATAAAACTTGATATACTTTTGCATGCTTATGTATTCAGATCTCAGTAATTATTCATAATCCCTTTGTTAAATCTGATGTCACACAATCACTGTTTTCAGGTCCAAATGCTCTTTCAGATAAAAAAAAAAAAAAAAAAAAAAATTCACAGCCACATTGAGCTGTAGTAGTACCAAAAAACTTTTGAGTACAAGGATCCACTAGAGGCAAGTTGTAGAGAGAGCCCAAGTGCAGTATTTATTCAAAAGTAACATATAGCTCGATCAAAACATGACATGGCACAAAACAAAACCATTGACAAAAGAAAACCATATTGACGAAACAAAACCATTGGCGAAACAAAACCATTGGCAAAACAAAACCATTGGCGAAACAAAACTATAGGCGAAACAAAACCATTGGCGAAACAAAAGCATTGGCGAAACAAAACCATTGGCGAAACAAAAGCATTGGTGAAACAAAACTATTGGCGAAACAAAAGCATTGGCGAAACAAAAGCATTGGCGAAACAAAACTATTGGCGAAACAAAACTATTGGCGAAACAAAACCATTGGCGAAACAAAACCATTGGCAAAACAAAAGCATTGGTGAAACAAAACTATTGGCGAAACAAAACCATTGGCGAAACAAAAGCATTGGCGAAACAAAAGCATTGGCGAAACAAAACTATTGGCGAAACAAAACTATTGGCGAAACAAAACTATTGGCGAAACAAAACCATTGGCAAAACAAAACCATTGTCGAAACAAAACTATAGGCGAAACAAAACCATTGGCGAAACAAAAGCATTGGCGAAACAAAACCATTGGCGAAACAAAAGCATTGGCGAAACAAAACCATTGGCAAAACAAAAGCATTGGTGAAACAAAACTATTGGCGAAACAAAACCATTGGCGAAACAAAAGCATTGGCGAAACAAAAGCATTGGCGAAACAAAACTATTGGCGAAACAAAACTATTGGCGAAACAAAACCATTGGCGAAACAAAACTATTGGCGAAACAAAACCATTGGCATAACTGCATTGACATCACGCAACAGAGGTTATAGGAAACAATACTTGACAAAGACACATGGCAAACATGAGGGCTTAAATACATAGGCTAATGACATGACAAGGGACACCTGTGAACAATGAACAGACGATGAACCAATGACAAGACATATGGCAGAATCACATGTCTCAATGTGATCAACCTCAGTCCAGTAGATGGTGGTAATGGACAATGATTGCAAGCTGCCAAATAAAATCTACCGAAGAAGAAGGCAGGATCACATGACAAACTGGGAAATCACATGACAGACATGGAACATGACATAAACCAACCAAAATGTGACAGAGACAAGACCAAATCGTGACATTGAGACAGTACTATCACTTTAAATAGAGAACCTTGGACCCGGAAAAGCATTTGATGCGTCATGACTTACCTTTAGCCATCATATTTCACATCCATTTCAATGGACTTGTTCTATTGCAGTACACAGAGACATTTACAGACCACTAATTTTATCAAGCAATTTTAGATTCTCCTCTTGGCCACTAATCCATTTAAATATAACGTCCGGTTTATATTTCAACTCTGACCATATTTCTCACCTAAACACTGTGTGAGATGTGCAGTCAAGACTCAGTACTGTTTTTTTCCATAACACAAAGCATCAGGGTTTAACTCAGTCTATTTTCTACATTCAATTATCACACAATAATGATAAATTAGCTTAAATTATAAAAAATTTGAAAAATTTTTATAACACCTAAAACACCTAAAATTTGAATCTCCATATACCATAACTTCTCCAGGGCAAAGAGGTGTTAAGCAGTGAATGGAATTGAGATGCATACACTACAGGAGAACATGGAACATGGGCCCTAATTTTACTTGCTGTATGAAGGGAGGGAGCAATAGCACAGAACTCAGGAAGCATATAATCAGGAATAAAGGTCGCATATTAGATCTTTCTCATTTCTCAGGGTTGAAAAATTCTGTCATAATCTAATATTAACCGTAATTTTACATTTAATGATAATAAGACTTTTAATAGACTTTTAAATCCTGAACTTGCAGGATGAGCATATGGGCTATATTGTGCATATAATTATTTAAGAAGAAAACAGATGAAGAGTGTCACTTATGTTTAGCACCACACGATGAATGTTTGTTTCCCCCCCACAGTGACAACAGAGGCCACTAAAACAAGACCTTTGAGCCTGGGCAAATATGAACAATGCAAGATATGACATAATATAATTCAGATTATAATATGAACAAAATGTAAAAAAAATCAAATAAAATAAAGTGAACTAAATTCAATGCTCTGTATTTGCCTGAACTCAAAACTTTCTCACTGCTAAAAAAAAAAAAAAAAAAATTAGTCAATGACAGAAAATTTTTGGTTAAAGCGACCTCAGGTTGGAAAGATGAATTTGTTATAAAGAAGGAAAAGGGAAACATCTGTATGAGTAGAACAATAAAAGTCAGTATTCAAAGAACTCTTTCATTGAAAGATGTTCAAAGAACATTTTCATTGTATATGCGTGTGTGTGTGTGTGTGTGTGGTTATGCCACTGAAAATGGCTTTCACAATGCTGACGATGGAAAGCAAAAAAATTGATGCATCTGCACTCCCGATGGCCCTTACAAGCAGCATAGATGATTTACACAACTCATTAATACATTCGAAGAGCTGCCAGATTCCATTATCAAATTCATAAGCATTGGAAAGGTTTAGACAGTATTCTCCCTCCTGTGTGGCCCTGCGAGGACTACTACTAATGCAGCCTAAACGCTTGCATATGCTCGGCGAGTATACCAACTAGCAAGCACAACTGAAAAATAGCACCCAACCCGTTTCACTCACCTTGTTTTTAATTTAGTTCCCAACTAATGATGCCTTCCCACACACATGTTTTCCCTGCACAAGCTCAATAAATATGTAGATTCTAACATGCATAAATAGACTCTTTGAATCCCACCTCCATCCCTGCACCAGAAATGTACATGCAACACAAACGCACACAGATGAACGCTGTGAACTGACAAGCACCTCCACAGACATAATCAGCACGCTATAGGCAAATTGTGCAGTCTCTGCCTCTCTCTAGAGATGCTGGGAAATGTTGTTGGAGTAGCCATGCTTTACTGCAACGACAGTTTGAATAATTAAATACTAGCCAGCATGTGCATCTCTCTCTCCTCACTCAACAAACTCTAACAGATGGGAAGAGTGAAGCAGAGTGCAATTGTCCAATCCCTTTCTTCTCACTGTCTCACTCCACAGTGCCTGGAGTAGGTACAAGCTAAATGTTTTAAAGTGTGATGGATGGGCCAGGGCCAATCAAAAATCAAAGGGCAGAGGTGGACTAGATCTACAAGAGAGACACATCACAACCCACAGCGTTTGTGTTATGATTGTACTGACATGGTTAACTTGAAATGAACTCAAGGATGGTCCTAAAATAACACATTTAGCCTCTAATCGGTAAGGAGAAATGGGACGTCTGACGGCAGACAAGAAAGTACAGTGCAGAAGGCTGTTCGGAAAAAAAGTTCCCCGCTAGGACACAAAACATTTTCAATAGTACTGGAAGGCAAAACTCGTAAAAAACTGCTGTGAATATGCGATAGATAAGGGGAGTGGGTGTCTAAGGGCAGTACGCCAGGATCCGAAGCTTAAATGGGCTGGCCCAGTGGACATTTTTCTCCCTGCAAATCTTTGTATATTTACCGCTTATAAAATTTTTGTTTTAACAACCAATGTCATGAGAAATCAGATCTTGCCACAAAATCAGGTCTCCATCAACTATTAGTTAATAGTTTTACCAAGTCCAGTAGTACACACAAGACCGCAATGTTATTACCACTTTCAAGGCCCAGAAAGGTAGCAAAGACAAACGTTTTACACTTAAATAATTCCGCATTTGTACTTAACCTAATAATCTTGAAAGTAGCGTTTAAGCTAATCTTTCAGACTAATCCTGTATCTTTATGCAATGCAAGTGTGCACGCTTACTATAACATAGTTCAAATTACATATATCATAACACATTTTTATTATCAGGTGATAGAAGTACCCATTAAGAGTTCATTGAGCCAATGGGACAGCTTGTGGTCCAAACAGAGATCTGTTTTCTCTTGAAAAATGTCTTGGAAATGTCCAACTACTCTCTAAGATCAGTGGATTCCTGTACGAGGGTTGGAGAGGAAAAACTGATAACACATGCTTGAAATAGACAAGGAGGGATTATGGTCCAGCTACATTGGGCAATAGTCGAAATGTATGGGGTCTAAATAGCAAGAAATTGCATTGCAAAAAGGAGAAATACTAAAACTGCGGCTGTTAGAAAAATCATGCGGTCATGTGCAATATCTCGAAATCGGTGCCATATGTCGATGCAATAAGGTGTTATTGGCCAGGATAACTTTCCTAATTTCTTCATTTATTTTAGTATACACATAACTGGCACATATTCAAAAGTTCATGTATATGAATTTTCCATTGGCAGTGACTTGTTTCCAGTCAGCGTCATGCCACCATGGGCCTCTTGGCTGGAGGTCTCTAACAGTCAGAGGCCCCCCAGCACTGGCCCCATTTGCTTGTACTATAATCTATCCTGTTAAAGATTCAAGGAGTGAGGCAGGGAAAGTGATACCTCACCCCACACATGCATTACTGAACCGCTAAACCTCAAAACTGACAGCTTGTCCACTCTGTGATTGATTTGTGGCCCTTTGAAATCCAATCTTTCTACATTAATACCTTCTGCCTAATGGTACAGTAAATGGACTGCATTTATATAGCGCTTTCCCAGACCCAATGGCCACCAAAGTTCTTTACATTTTTGCCTCATACACAGCTATTGACCACCAACCTTCTGGTTTGTAGACAACCTACATGAACCACTGTCGCCTAAAAACAAGGCACAAGCAATTACCTTATTAGTGTGAGGATAGTTAGTTTACTGTTCTTTCTTAATTCAAAAATCTTCTGTTCAAAACAACAAAAGCTACTCAGTTGGACAGAATTAAATTATGAATAATAAAAATTGAGAAGCAGTAAGAGGCTCATATCACTCACATTTCTACTTTCTCTTTCGCACACAGTCCAGCCTTCGTCTCATGCTAGTTTGTCTGAGGGTATAGTAGTGTTTTCATCTGGGAGCATCTCTCTTCAGCCAAGTGACAGTAAAGGGGGAAGGGGAGGAAGCAATGAGGGAACGCAGAGAGAAGCGTTTTAACCAGCAGATGCTTTAACCAGCACTGCTAGACGAAAGCCCCGTAGAGCTCCAGAAGAAGAGGCGGATGACTAGCGATTCAAATGAACAACACGAAGATAAAAGCAGATGTAAAAACAATAACTGCTCAATGTGGACACAAATACACACTGACATTTAGATTGAATGCAAGAGGCAATAAGTGCATGAAGGCAGCATGGGTAAAGGAGAGTTGAGATAGCACACCCTGGAGCTGTTTTCATGAGTCTGTTCACGCACAGAATGAGTGTTTTTGCCCTGGGTGACTATGACTTCAGCAGGCCGCTTTGGCGAGCTACACTAATTTAGCAAAAAGTAAGTACAATTTGTTCTTGAGTGCCTCAGACGTGTTAACCAGATGATCAACCATGATCCCTTTCTCTCACATTTTTTTCTAGTTCTTCTCCTTTTTTGCTTATAATGGACCTACAAATCTTGTGTTCTCTTTGCCCATTTAATTTCTTAGTCTACCATATCCTCAGCTCGCACTGTCCTCACTGCCAGCTTAGAGTTTTTGTCATTGACAGCTACAATTTATATAAGATTGCAGTGTGAACTAAACACTGACTCATATTCGTCTCTGAAAATGCAAAACATCTGCCATTGGCATGTAGCATTTTAAATCTCTTCATTAGAAATCCATTAACACTTAATGAGCAGGTCTCTAAACTAGTCGCATAGCAAATATTGAGGTTCCAAATGGCAATCGACCAAAATGTCCCCGCTGATCCATTCCAATTTTTCGAGACCTTTCAGAACTCTATCTGCAGTACAAAAAGGCCATTCATTGGAACTAAGCTGCAAAAAGGGGTCGTTCTGGAAGCTTTGGTGCGCAACTTGACATGTGTAGTCAGTAAAATAGGAGGAGAATGGAGGATATTATTGCTCTTATCAACAAAAAGAGGAATATATTGTGTATTATTCTACATTGTACAACTAACAAGCAAGATTAAAAAAACCCTCAATGTTAGTAAAAAATGACTGAAGTTTATTTAAGCCTCTAATTCTAGAAGTCTGACCTTCACAGATTGTGCTGAACATATGTTTTTGGTGAAAATGCATTTGGCGGCATTTTTTTCTTCAGAGACAGATCGAATAGGCGAGAGAGACGGGACCCAATATTGGGAGTTTAGACCCAACAGAAAATCCCCAGCCCCAGAGTTTTAACTCATTTTACAAATGCAAAGATTTAAAAACGAGGCTCAGTAGAAATGGCACAAACACTAAATTATAAGATGATGCTATAAAACATTGACTAACTTTATAGGAGAGAATAAAAAATTATGATAAATATTCAAAAAAGTCTTTAAATTATTGGTTTCCTAACCCAATAACTCTACAAAACATGATCTTGCAAAAACACAGGAAAACAACTTGTGTCCCAGCCTAACCCCAAGCATCGTCACAAAAACATATGAGTTTTCATAATCTGGGCCTCCCGCCAGTTAGACAACAGGTAATCTCAAGCTCTAATTAGACATTTACATGTCAGCCTGTGAGACTATGGGGAGGCTTATAGATTTATTCACTGCATAACTCTAATTGGCATTGGGCTGTCATTTCAGCGTGGTTCTTTTTTCTCTGTCACTGGATGTAGGAGATATTTTAAAGAGCTGGATAAAATGTGTAATTCCTATTTCCTATAGTCATAAGTCATCAATCATCTATCTATCTCACAAGAAATACAGTGGCCAGGTAGCCATTAAGCTCCCTCAAAGGCCTGCATAGTGCAGTTTAGTGTACAGAATATCCAAACATAATGTAAATGCCTCTTACACATCCATAATCCTTTTGTTTATTATAACTAAAGGGTATTTTTGAGAAAAAGTGTACTTTAAAAATGCAAAAGCCACACATTGAGTTTTATTAATATCAATATTTGTAATGTTTTTAAGTTGACAACCATGATTAATGTAATATATATAGAGAGATATTTTAATTATTTCTTAATAAACAAGTGTTTTCTTTGTCAGTGTCGACTGCAAAGATGAAGTTGATGATGCTGACTCGCGATCTTCGGAGCAGTGAACGCAACAGAGAGAAATGTGGGATGTGGATGTGGAGGCATAAAGTCCGATAAAGTCGAGGAAGAAGCCCATGGAGAGTATTAAAGTTGATCCTGCTGCTAGCTCATGTACAGCTAATTCTCACTCTCTCCGTGAGTATAACACAGATTTCACTCGGACCAGCTACTAGAAGACATACAGGTTGCTCACGTGACAGGCTGTTTGAGCCTGCGCAGTATGCCTGGTGATCAGCTTTTAACGGACTTCAATTTTCTCAGTTGAAATCAATGGGGTCTCTGTGTCCATTTTTTTTTTACTGTCTATGGTTGATAATCGATTACATAATCAATTATTATTGATTTTATCGATTAGTTGTTGCAGCCTTGAATCCATCTGACAAAACTAGGTTGCAACAGTAGAAAGAGGGAGGCCACTCACTGAAATGGTCACGCTTTCCTCCCATCCAGAATATGTTTCTCTGTTCAAGGCATACAGATACAGAAGTGCTGTTTGCCTGAGATATTACAATTCTGACAAGTCTTAAGCATCACCCCGCTAAACAGATGAATTAAAGTAGGAGGATGAATACAGCTAAAGATCACACTGTCGGTGTAATACAGAGGTAATGAGTCTCAAGGGTCGGTCAGAAGTTTGGTGACAGCTGATTGTGGAAAACAGCAGTGAAATCACGCTGAATATGGTTGTTAATGGCCATTTGAGTGGGTAAAATGAATAAATGACTAACTGATAAATTTACTTTTAAATGTGCACAGAGACGGAAGCCTTTCAAAAGTGCAAAATTATGTTGGTTGAGTCTAATCACTACACAAAACTATACAAATATAGACAAGCAAGGGACAAACAGATCAATTTAGAACAAACAGTCTGTCTCAGTTTGGTAAGCCTAATCACAACTGACTTCATGACGTCTGTAAAACAAATATGTTAGTGACGAAGTGACTGACGTATCTCTGTCATGGTGGAACAACAGCCTTGTATTAAGAAAACAAAAATCAAACTGACAATGGAAATAAAACGTATTGAAATATTCAAAATATCATAAATAAAAAAACAAATAATAATAATAATAAATGTAATATTAAATAAAAAATCTAATATAAAAAATATGATTGTTTATTTAGACTTTAGAGCGTATCACCAGGCTAAACTGTTGATTTCTGAAAAAAAAATCTTTATAATACATTATACAATTATTTGCATCATCACCACCCGATTTCAACGTTAAAACAACAACAATAATCCCCATCTTCATCCCCAAGCAACAGCAAACACAACAATGAAATTACTTATAACCTAAATGATAACAATAAATGACACACTGATGTCATCAGCTCAGCAGTAAATAACTAAATTTCCGATAGTTTCTAATTAAAAAAGCCATGAAAAGTAGTTTAGTTTAAGTCAAATGTATATTAGGCTATATTTTGATACAAAGTTACTAGCACGCCATTGTGGCTAGCTAATATACAAAGTGTCTTCAACACGATTACAGCACCAGCAGCTGTCACTGATATATTTATGACCGAATTTATCTGTCTATAGTCGTCAAAAACAAGTGTTACGATATGAGGTGTGATGATGAGATGTTTTAGTTATGAGAAGATCCACCTCCTCCATGAGACGCGCCTGTGGTGCTGCAGAGACTCACCTAACTTTTGCGGCAACAGAAGAAATCGCATCATTTCTTAAATTCTTCTTCTTGGATACGGCAGTTCCCATGCTGTAGTGAAACGACCAATGTGTAAAAACAGCTCATTCCACTCGTCACATCTGCAATGGAGGAAAGTAATGCACAGTGGAAATAAATCATCCGCAGAGTGGAGATATGATCGCCTCTCTTCTCCTTGCTGCTCACGGTCTCTGTCAGACGTTCCGTTTGTTCCTCATGTTTAGGAACGCGCAGTCCTGCTGAATTTCACAACGTGAAGTTAATGGTGTCTTGTCTTGTAAGCGGAGTTTGAGTTAGTAGCCAACACAGCAATGTGGAGGGTGAGCTGCCAGTACGCTAGAATGTGCTCGTGCGCGCCACTTACAAACATTCTCTCTCTCTCTCTCTCTCTCTCTCTCTCTCTCTCTCTCTCTCTCTCTCTCTCTCTCTCTCTCTCTCACACACACACACACTCTCACTCTCTCTGATCCAGATACAACGCGTGATGGAAACTAGTGCCATATAAGGGAGAAAGTGGCTCAGCTTGTCCTTTGGCGTCAGATTAAAAGTGGACAAAAAGAACGAAGCCCATTTTTTTCTCCAAAAGTAATAGAAAATTTCCACCATCCTATTTGCCTACATGTTGACCCCAAGGTCACACAGGAAGCCATTATGCGCTTTTTATTAGAAGAACGTACAGCCAGCAGATTGCTATTGTAAATAATAAAATGTGTCAAATTAAAATAACATTTAAAACACATGCACAACGACGACAACAACTAGAACTCCACACTTCTGTCTGAATGTAGGCATAATTTATAAAACACACCATATTTATACAACTGAACTAAATCTTTACATTTATTTCCATTCTAAGAGATGATGTAAACGATTTGACTTAAAAGATTCCTTATCATGTATCCTGTATTATTTCTTTTGTTGTTTGTTTAACATTAAGGAGTCCAACACAGACGACAGTTAGTATTAGGCATTTAGGCTGCTGTCACTTAAAGACCTTCCAATTGTTTATCTTAAATGGCATGGTTTATAGTGCTATAAAAAAAGCTATAAAAAACATAAATCAGTTACCACGCTGTTTCTCATTCGCTTTAACGTGTCAAAATCTTAAGCAGTATTCTTTGCGCAACTATATTCACAGTCAGCGATATAGGCTAGACACAACAAATTTGAATAATTTTAAATATTTTTAAATATTTCAAAACTACCATTCAAAATGACCTATTAGCTGTATTAAATGGCTGGAAAGTCTCTTGCTCAATTTGTTAAAGGATAAGATCGGAATTTTACACTTAAATCCCTGTTTGATCGTTTCTAATGAAATAGAACGGTTAAGATTGAAATTTGGACACATGCTGCTGTCTCGAGAATTTTCGGTTTCTGTGAAAATCCTTCAAATTTCAATCTTAACCGTTCTATTTCATCAGAAACTATCTTAAAATAGGGCTTTAAGTGTAAAATACTGAACTTGTCCTTTAAAGTTTCAGAGTATCTGATATCAGAGACAATGGTTTTATCATGGGACAACTAAGTTCAAGCCCGAACAAAGCGTTTGAAGAGTGTGGAGAACCATCCTCATTGGGTTGATGAGACACTTGTTGGTACTGAGGTATAGGGGCAAAAGGGGAAAGTTCTGGAAGTTGCCCGCTCTCCACTTTCCTAGGTTGAAAAAGACTACCAGAATGAAGTGGGATTATCCTGTAAACTTTCCAATGGTAAAATCACATGAACATTTTATGATAGTACAATACTGATTAATGGCTGATTGATGACTAAGAAATCATGTCAAAAATGTCCCTAAATGAGATGCAACTCTTGAGATTGCAAGTTTTATTTATATTATTTATTGAATTTAATATATAGCTCCCCTCCGACTTCTGAAGTTCTCCCTGCTGCTGAGGAACAGCTAGAGCAGGACGTCCTGGACGAGAGTGAAAAACAATAAATTATACACTAAAATATATCATTTTATTTCACACAAACTACACTTGTTTACCACATTTGCAGCCGTTATAAAGTTGGCCACAAGCTGGGCGAAAGAGGATTTGGCTCTGCGATGCAGGGACTAGATGCAAGGATGGACTTGAGCTAGCTGTCTGTTAATGCTTCTCAGTCACTGTTTTCAATTTATTCTGTAATGTCATTTGTGTTAAAATCACATACGACATGGTTTTTCAGAAGGAAAATTGTTTGATTTAATGTCTAAGTCCTTATTTGAGAAACCACCTCCATCTAACTGCATTTTTTTCTTTTCTCTTAGCCTGGTTATGCCAAACGCTTTCCCTTGGAGATCAGCCTGACCCGGTCTCATCCCAAGACGTCATATAACTGACGTTTTGGGACGTCTTTTGACCATACGTCAATATTCGCCTTTTTAGGGCCCCCTTAAACGTCGGTAGATGAGGTTATGGGATCCTAACTCTACCCCAGACCTAAACTTAACCCTAAACCTAACCCGTCACCTAACTGACGTTAAAGGTAAAGCGTCAGTTGTATGACGGCCCGGGATCGCCATCTACCGACGTTTAAGGGGGCCCTAAAAAGGCGGATATTGACGTACGGTCAAAAAACGTCCCAAGACGTCAGTTATATGACTTTTTGGGATGAGACTGTGTTAGCCTGACAGTGGTGGCCAATAAGGGCCTCAGATAACTCAAATGCTGGACTGGCAGGACGATAAAAAAGTGTGTCTTATATAGATTTTAAAATATATTATCTTGATAATAAAATAAACTAAAAAATTGTCTCTTCATTTTAAATGGACATCAATATAAATAAGTCATGAAAATAATGTTTTATTGGGGTCTATAAATAAACATTTTTTGATCTAGCATTTAAAAGATTTACATATGGCCTTTAGCAACTGCTTTAAGAAAGAAATCAGTAGAGCCCAATGTACTGTGTTAATATGAAAGCCACATTTTTATTTACACATTGCATTGTGTTGTATTTTATGGTTAAAGAAATGTCTGTAAACTTGGCAGATAATATCTTTGCAGAAAAACCTTTTCTGTTCACAGAGCAGAGGTACAATGCTGAAAATAGTAACAAAACAATATAATTTGAGAAAAAGTGACAATTTTATGTTATTTTTGATAAAAGGGTTTGAAAACCAGCATACACAACCACCCGTGTGTGTGTGTGTGTGTGTGTGTGTGTGTGTGATTACATTTTATTATTTATTATTATTAAATATTCATTTAAAAACATGGGAAAAGTTGAGGTCCCACCAATAAAGATAAATCACAGAGGAGACCAGGGAAAATTACAAACTAGGAGACTGTTGTACAACCACAAAGTACAGAGGCTTTAATTTAGTCATTAATAAAAAAAAAACAGTTTCAAATAATAAATTATCAGAAGGAAAAAGACTTTTGTTGGCATCCTTCATCTTCTTTGTCGAGGGGTTGAAGTTCCTTAATGTGTGTTGTTCCTTGTTCAACTAAAGTTATTTCTCTTTAAAAGCGGATGTCAGTTAAAAGCAAGCGTCAGCCTCAACATTAGAATATTTCTTCAAATTTTTTGAGGGCAGATGAAAAAAAAAATAAATAAAAAAAAATTACTGAAACCTTTACATTCAAATACAATCCGAAACACAATAGCAGATGTACTTGTTTTTTTTCCACAGTCCTGTTACAGAAATATTTTGTTGTTAATTGTTATATTTTTGTAAAGTATTCAGGTTACAAGTTCTTGAAGCATACGGTATATTATATTTAAAAAAACATTATAATGCACTTTCCTTGGCACAAAGCAAACAAGAATATTAGACATAGAGAATAACATCAAAATATACTTTAGTAACTCATGAATAAAGATTTCCTGCTCACTCAGTTTCATTCTGATTTTGTTGTGGTTGGTCAGAACACTGACTACTTTTGGATCGCAGTGCTCGAGCAGAAAAGGCGTAAAGAAAGGGGTTCACACAACTGTTGATAAAGAAAAGAGCTCCAGTAACATTGTTGCCCTCTGAATTCCATGACACCATTACAATAATGTTGTTGATCATGCAGGGGGTGCTGAATATGAAGAAGACCACTACGATTCTCACAGCCAGTTTCGTCAGCCTGTGGCTGCTGAAGGAAGCTGACTGACTTATCCGTCGATGAAGTCGAAGGTAGAAGCAAAACAGGCTGAAGAGAGGCACAATACACAAGACTAGAGTCTCAACAAGTAAGACAGCTATTTTTTCTTTAGAATTCCTATAATCCTGATAACAGTGTAGACGCCCGTCCTTCTTCCACTCAACACTTCGGTGATAAAGGGCGTAAGAAGCCAAAGCTCCACTTGATATCCATATCCCAAAAATCAGCCCCTTTTGACCCTTCCCTCCAAGCTTCGCCCATCGCTGAGTATACAGCACTTGCAGGTACCTTTGCACACTCAACAAGGTGACAGAAAGCACACTACTGTAGAGGCTCCAGTACACAACATAGGAAAATAACTTACATAGACCTCTGCCAAAAATCCAGCCGTTCAGAAGGGCATAGATCCACACAGGCAGAAAAATCAGACTCAGTAGATCCGAGACAGCCAGACTCAGCATCAGTTTTGGGGTGAAGCTTCCTTCTAAATGTTGGGTGAGCATGACCATCACCGCAAGATTACCTGGTACACCCAGCACAAAGCACAACCCCAGAACAGTGCTGGACATTAGCATATCCACTGAGGTATTGGCAAAGAGAGAGCCATTCGAAATGTTCTGGTACTGCATGTTCACCTGCCAATTGCTGATGCGAATATTAAGTCTGATGTAGACTCAGGAAGTGTAATTGCCCAGGGAGCGACTGGGGTTTAGGTGACTTGCTGAGGGGGACCGCAGTCATTTCCTGCAAGTCTGCATGTTTCTTTTAAAACTGTCAGTCCATTTAAGACTGTGCACGAATGTGGTGTTTGTTGTGGTGTATTAGCCTTTCTGTCTTCCTTCAACATCCGTTAATGTTTATGCATTATAGTGATGTAGCATCAGCACAGCATCAGCTCTGTTCGCATTTTAGTAGTGGTTAATGCTGCATGCCTGACTTACCTCACACACAGATGAACACATTTCCCCTGGCAAGCAGCTAGTAGGCTATGTGTATGCACCCCCACACTCTCTGAAAATATAATTTCAACCAGAAAATGCAAGAAACTAGAGATGCACGGCGCATCAGGTCCATAGAGGCCATTATTAGTGTTGTTGGTTAATATAGAAATGGGACTATCTATCTTTATATATTTAGACCATATGAATACTTCAGATGTAAAAGCTTATAAGTCTGTTTAACGTTTTTCTTTAATAATAACATTTTTTATCAGGCTCTTATATAGGTTTTATATAAGTACTTCATATTTCTGAATGGCCTGAGGCTGGGATTTAGTGAGTTTGAAGTGAAAGTATTTGATGAGCGTATACTATGCTCGATATATTTATCTCATTTTTGACATAGGTGGCTTTTAGAGGCTTTTGCATCAGAGGTCTTCATATATGCTCTATTGGCTACTACAGAAATTCAAAAATAATCATGGGGTTATCAATTATAATATGTGTGCATTTGTAAGCGTTTAAACTGTATATTTAAAATAACGTTTGAGCTAGTACATATTTATACATCATTACCATTATGTTCAAGTCTCTTTACAAGCAGGAAATGTAGGCAGGGGAGTGAATGAACCGCTCTCTTTTTCAGCCGCCACAACTGAGTTGCCCTTGAGCAAGGCACATAACCCCCAATCGCTCCCTGAGCGCTGCAGCAAAAAATGGCTGCCCACTTCTCTTTGGCTACATGTCACATCACTTTTTTAAAGAATTGCTAATTTTAACTGCTTGTTTTCAGTTTTCATTTCTGTTTTTCCATTGACCCTCAACCTAATGTTAGCCTTATTCTTTAACAGCAGACAGATTTATAATTCTGACGCTGTGTTAAAAATGGAAGGAAATTAAATTCTGAGCCACAGACTGATCTCATGAAGTCGCTTGTGTATGACACGCCAATTCGTATTTCCATTTTTGGCGTGCTATCAAGACGCATAATCACTTTTCAGCGTGTTTATGAACGCCATTGACTTAACTTTATTACTGTATATATAAATATATGACTTACCTCAAACCCATCCCTAAACCTAACCGTCACTGGGGTTAATGGCATTTATGAGTGTTCCCTTACCATCCTAGGAAAAAAAAGATCGCTCCCCAGATGTAGATCTACATTTTGCTTCGTTTCGCGCGGACATTTGACGGTGTGTACAGACACGCGGAATCACTCGGACGTTAATGGCGTAGACATACATGTATACACGCGGATACACGCGGATAGCTCAAAATGCGTAGAGATAACACGCCACTTGACTCAAAAGTGGTGTGTATGTTTACGCAAAAGTCATGATGTCATGTTGCTGAACCAAGTGCAAAAACTCCACTTGACTTTAACTCGCAGGCTAATACTGGTCTTGCTAAACAACCTCCAGAAAGGCAAGCAGATGTTCTGATTACTCATGCGGTTTGTTGGGACAGAGTAATGAGATTTTGTTTTGGAAATGAGACAATTTCCAATTGAGGCCTTTGTTTCAGCAAACATTACATTCAATGGAGCAGGGCGCAACAAAGAACACACAGCATGAAAGAGACACAGTAAACAAGCAGAATAATTTGGTGCCTGAGAGAGATGAGCTGTGGTTAGATTTTTCTGCAATAATGCAAAATTAATTTTCACTGTGCCAGAGATGTCTCTTGTTTACAGTTTTCTGAATTTATATAGGTAGAATCCAGAGATAACTTAGTTATAATATGGGACCTGTTCCTAAATCAGATTATGGAGCATACATGTCTAATTTCATCAACAGAACGGAGTGTGACTTTTACCATGACCTTCAAGGGCAGAGCATATACACTGCAGGAGACTTTCAGATGCAATATATGAAGAGTTCAGATGCAAAAGCCTCTAAATGCCATTTGAAATTTTCTTCTTTAATGATGATTTTTATCAAACTTGTATATTTAAGTTCAGTAATTTCACTTAAATAACAATTAATAGGTAATTATCATTGCCATTTAAGTGAAATCACTGAACTTAAATATACAAGCTTGATAAAAATGATCATTCTAGAAGAAAATTTCAAATGGCACTTAGAGGCTTTTGCATCTGAACTCTTCATATCTTGGCATGTCAACTTAAACACTTTCTTATTGAGCAAAAACAATTGATTGATATGCTCGTCAATAACCATTTGAAGGGTGATCTGTTTGTTGGCATGACCATAATGATTGCTCTCAAGTGATTGGCTGGTGAGAAGCATGAGGCAGGGTAAGGTAGAGGAGGAGTGGAACAGATATACAGAAATGTGATGGAAAATAGACAAGAAGTAAACAGATGGACATGGAATGGAAAGAGGTGAAGGGAGACTGATGAGACAGGTGGAAGATGAATGAAGAGAGAATAAGGAATTGGGCAGCAAATGATGAGTAGCCTGTTAATTGGATTGGTGGTACGGTTAATTGAATCAGCCTTCTGCCATGTTGTTTAGATAATGACAGATCGGTGTCAGCAAACATGTACAGTATCTGTCAATGGTTTGGACCACCTGACTGAATATTGCTCATGGTCTTCAGGTCCTTTTGTACTAAAGGCCAACACATTCTCGGCTCATCCTTAAATGCTTATAATTAGCTTGTAGACAAATTTAAAGTTTCTTTACAAATTCATTTGGATGAGAGAGTGAAGAAAAAGAACCCAGGAATCTTATTGCTTATTCATTTCTGTTTAAAAATGATCCCAGGGCGCATTGATTACTCATATATGAAGTTGGTTGAGAAGATAGATATCAGGTGACTACTTTAGTTTTTCAGCTACTTTACAATACACACACCATTGATTTCTTGTACTTGATTGATGTACTCATATTGATTTCAAATGTTTTACAATTTAAAAATACCCCACCCCCATCCCCCCATCCCCATTGTGATGTATATCCAAATTTTAAATGGCTTCTCGAACAAGACAAAAATTAGGGCATGACTTGATTGGATCGTTTGATCATTGTGGTTTGCTATTGATGTGATATCATTTTGAGTGACAAGTTGTAAGCAAATCATCAGAGAAGAGTTGTCGTTGCAAGACTCTGGGGAAGTTATTTTAATTAAAGATTACAAGGGAACCCGAATTGAAGGGGTCATGAACTGGCTTTTTTTTATTATATTGTTGTCTGAGGTTAACTTATGATGTTCGCTTGGTTTTTGCATTCAAAAACATCAAAATGAATAAGTAATAAATAAGCTATTTTCTACCCTAGTTTTGAGCCTAGCTCAAAAACTCACGCTCGGTTTTTATGGCGTCTCGCACTGAAGACTTGATACTAAACGGCCACTGCTGTGAGTGGATAACAGTTTTGCATATTATAATTAGTTTCAACGAGGGGGAAATTGTTTTGAAAACTTCCAATGTTGTAAAATGGCAACTGGTCTTGTTTACAAAACAATCCTCAGTGAAATGAAGCGAACAGACGGACAATGTTTTACCCTCATCTACTGGAATGTCATTAAAAATAGTGCATGCTAATTTCCGACTGGAATCCAGAGGAAGCATGCAGCGATTGTCTTCTTCCACAACCAGGCACTGCACAATATTTTGTATTGCTCGGTAGCTCAATCCGGTTTGTCATCAAGAGGTAGGAATCTATGTTATTTAGCTATGCGTGTAATGCACGAATCGGTGGGCGGGGCTAAACGACCGTGTTGAAGTAGGCGTTGATCTTCTTGTGGGGGACTGGGGTGGCGTTTTATCCTCTTTGACGTCATAGTTCCCCACTTTGAAAAACGAGTCGTTTGCTGAGCCTGGCGTCAATAAAAGCTTTAATTGGATTAACAATGACGCTTTCAGTTCTGAAACTTACAGGATATTCTTATAATATGATGACCTCTTAGATGTCAAAAGTGTGCGAAAATATGATTTCTCAGTTCATCACCCCTTTATAAAAAATAAATAAATAAATAGGTGTACAGATAAATAATTTATAAGAAATATCCCAATATTCCCTTAAAAAATATCCACTTTGTTTTCATGCCAACTTTAAACATTCAGAATTTTTTTTTTTTCTATTTGGTCTACTAGCCCTTACTAGTATGTCTTGACACGACACACCAAGTGTATACTTGACATTTACTAAGATTGAAAAAGATTGACTTTAGACAAACAGCCTTTATAAAGTACCCTAAGAGAGTGCTTGGGGAATGTGCCACATCACATTTGTAGTATTCGCTACAGTTTGCTAATCAAATCATCTAGAGCATTTTTCAATCAACAGTAAACAAGAACCTCATTTTATCTCCCCAAGCTCATGTTAAAAATATCCTTACTCCAGTTTTCACAGTCTTTCAGCAGTCATGACGTGATACCCTTGATCCCATCAGTTTCCTCTGAGTCATCAAACAGAAATCCCATGGTAGCTGATTGACCTAAATATCTCCAGGAGACTGGCAGAATAACAGGTGAGGGAGGAAAAAAGCCATATGAATGAGATTAAAGCTTACGGCCATCTTGGCAGTTTCATTTGGCCTGTGGGTGGTTATGAGAAGGCAAAAATTGAAAGCTTTTGTGCACTCAAGTTTGTGTTTAGAAGTTTTCTAAAGGAGCAAATATATAAATGTTAAAGTATAATAACCTTGGCTGGTACTCCAACTCAGCAAGCTATAGCCATCACTTCACCAACGTCTCGGTTAACCATAGACCCCATGAGTAACCCACTTCTAGCCAAAATAAC